ATACAACTAACCCTTTCCTTCTATAAAGACCCAATTAAAGGAACTTTTCTTTTCCTAGTGTTTCCAGGCTGAAGTCTTTACAGCGGAACGAACGTGGCCTGTGTGGACTGAACGGTGTGTGAGAGACTTGGAAGTAGATTTGCAGTTTACAGTTATGATCTTTGAAGAGTTGTCTCTACTTACCAGTTAATCTAAATCTAGTCTTTGCTACAGATGGTACCTTACTTTGGCTTGTTGAGCATCATGTGAAATGTTCAGACTTTTCACCAAAGTTAGATTCTGCCCATTTTGTTACTCTGTTAATCATTTCAATACACTTTCTAGGGAGAGAATTTGCCATTTGAAACTCTGTTGGCTATTTTGTAGATGTCAGATCATGTGCTGGATCCTGAAATTACTATTTACCTGCATCTGTCACTTCCTCTTGCCCATACGATAGACCTGAGATTCCGAGTGCTAGTGAATGTTTTGCACATAACTATACACAGTTCTAGACTGTTGGTTCACCCATAGTCCTTACTCTTAGAAGAGAACGATCCGGAGGGCCCAGGGGGCTGTTTTTATGCATTATACATTGCAAACTCGCACTGCTTTGGTATCTGAGGTGTGACCCAGGAAGCAAGCTTGTCTCTAAAGGAAAATAACAAACAAAAAATACCCCAGACAAAACACCCAAGAACATGCTCAAGTTGTCGTGTGCTGTCGTATGCAGTGTTGAATTTGTACACTACTCTAAGGACTCCTGAGGAACTCTCTGTGAGTGGCATGTGCACTCGTGCTGAGTGAGTGTCCTGCTCTGTGCTTGTCCAGTACCAGCTTCGTTTGGAAGTTTTTCATGTGTATTTTGTTTTTATTTGACTTACAATGTGAGTTGAAAGAAAAATACAAAAAAAATATACATATACAGTGGGACAACTTTGAATTCAGTTTCACCGGGGCAAGCTTTAAAACTAATTCAGGCTTAACCTTGCTATATGCAGTTACTCTTGTATACTTTTGCACATATTTTGTTTAGTACAGTTTCATATTTGAGTTTGCAGAGTTACCTAATAGTCCTTTTTTTGCTAATTTTTATAATGTGGTTCTTATTTAACTGTCTGGTTTTGATAGATTTATCAAGTCTGGCTGAAAAATTAAGATATTGGCAAATGTCATTTTTATGGTTTTAATGCCCTCTTATTTATGGTTTTAGCTCTTTGTTTCTGTAAAGAGAGTTTAAAAGGGAAGATTAACACTAAAATATTTACTTTTAAATGAAGTATTCATAATGCAAATCAAAAACAAATCCTCGTGACTAATTATTTTTAGATGAATTGAATTTGAGCATAACATGATTTAAGACTACATTAAAAAGAGAAAACACTAAAGTCGCCTTTCCCTTGATTTGTTCCTGTTTCCTGATCCCCAGACTGGACAGACTTTTAGCCTTGATGAAGACCAGAAGAGAAGGCTGTTTGTTTGTTGTTTTTTTTCTTCTTTTTTTTTTCTCTTGTAATACTTGAGCTGTTACAAATCCTAATGTACAAACACGACTTGTTGAATTTTATTGACTAATTTTTCCTGATGGAAGGTGCACTCCATATGATAACTGGTTCCATGTGCAACTGTCAATTGTGAGCTCAACTGTCCCTTTTGAACTTGCATGTCTGGACTCCTTGGCACCAAACCACACTCAGGTTCCAGCCAGGAGTTCTGGTGGATACCTGACCTCAACGTGGCTGAGCTCTGCTCTCCCAAACATCCATGGAAAGGGATGTCCCAGTGCTCGCTCCTGCCTTGAGGGCATCTCGGAATGAACTGATGCATCTTGGTGGCCTTTCCCTAATTAGGAGGGGAAAAAATATCAAAGAAAACAAAAAGCAATTGCCAGAGTTGTGTGCTGTGGTGTGAGGGTGCTGCGTGGGGCTGTGCCGGTCGCGTGCCGAGGAGAGGGACTGGCTCCCGTGGGAGGGACTGGGATCTGCCTCCTGGTGGGTGGGGGAGGCTGAGAGACTATCAAATTTAGGGTACAATCACAGATTTTAGCTGTGTAGGTCAGTGTAGCTCTGTTAGTGTACGGAATGCTAAGTGTGTGGATGTCTTGATGCAGATTGTTCGATCCTCTTGGATACTATGAAATTGGCAAGGAGGATCCTGAATATATTAATCTGCTCTTGTTTTTATATAGGAGGAAAGAGAATTGCTGTCCACACCCAGTATGTCTTTAAAGAAATGAAACAAAAAAACATTCATGTTGCCTTTCAGAATAAGGAAAAAGACTTTACTTTTTTGTTGTTGTTGAAGTTATTGAGAAGTGTAGACCAGGAAGGGTGTGATTCTTCAGATGGGGGGGAAGTGCTTTCCAGCTGATCTGTGGCAAAGATTTATCTATCATTATTGTTTCAGTTTGATTTTATCCACAGTGGAATTGAGGTCACTTGGTGTTTTACCCTTCGTCACCTGAATTGCAGTCAGATGGGGCATTGTTTGTTCAGCCAAGAGTCCTGAGCACATCCTCGTGTTCAACACTAGGTAGCTTTTTGAAGGCAAGATCAGGTTGATAGTAAATATTTAAAGGGGTGTGAAGGCACCTCCAGTTGGATCTGTCACCAGGAACTGATAAAGCTCTGCTGTTGGGCTGGTAGGGAGCCTTGGCTTAATGAAACTGCTGAGTAACAAATTGTTGCTCTTACCAAGTCACTTCTCCACTACGTACATTCAGCACAGAGACACAGGCGTTTGTCACACACCAGGTCATCTCTGAGGAGCCAACAGCCCAGATTGTGGTGCTATAAAGCTTTAGGCTAAGACTAACCATGCCCAGGTCCCAGCCTGGCCCAGGTGTGGCAGGGACTGAGTTTAGGAGGAGAAGCAGCTGGTTTGGTAGCTCTTGGTTCCTGGGCTGGCTGTGCTCATGTCCCCAGCCCTGTGCAGGTGTTGGTGGCACTGGGGAGAGTCACTGTCCTGGCCAGGTGACCCTTCAGGTGTGCCCTGAATGGTCAATCTCTTTGTGATGATGTAACTCCACGATAATTCCTCCTCCTTCCTCCCCCTCCCACGTGTTCCTGCATGGAGGATATGTGTGTATCCCATGGCATCCGCTCTGCCCTGTTTCTCCAAATGCATTTTCCCCTCTTCTCCTCCCTTTTCTCACTTTGCAAATATTAAAAGTGCTTTTCTTTTTTGATTTTTAAAATCTTAGGAACCCAGAACAGCCTTACTGGTCAAATTGACCAAAGAGTGTGAAATATTTTATAAAAAAGAAAAATTTGTAAAAAAAATAACCCAACCACCTTGGGCATAATTTTAACTCCAAATGAACTCAGTTATTTATTCAGTTTTATACTATAGAGAAACTAAACTCCATGGAGGGGACAGGGAGGGAAAGCTGTGGTGGGTTGTGGTGTTTGCAGTCTTTTGGAAGTCCTGTAGCCAAGACAAAACTTGTTCCCCATCTTCCCCTTTGCTGTTACGGTTTCTGATGTGTACTGTATGTCTGAATATTGCACAGGTTGTGGAGAAGTCGATGGTTTATTTTTCACAGCAGAATCTCACCAGACTCACTTCCTTGACAAGTGTTAAAGTTACCAATATATTTCCCAAACTTTTCCATAATCCTGGGAGCCAGCTGCTTTGGATGGATTTGTGCTGCCTATTGACATTATTTACTGTATAAATAATTTATCATTTGTACTATTGTATCATAATGTCTGTATCTTTGTGTCATTTTTCTTTCCTCCCAAGCAATGTCACAGATGTGAGATTTAATGATGCCATCAGAACAGTGGAAAGACAAAGGGGTTTGTAGGTGACTGGTCAGAATTAAAATTGTATTGCTTATATTCCAGCTGTGTTGCTTTTTCCAAGCCTCTGCCTAGTGATCATGATCCCATTCCAACCAAACTCTGGTGCTGCCAGGCTTGGGTTAGTTTTTCACAAAGCTGATGGATTGGTTGGGCTGATGGAAGGTTTGTGCTAGGAGAAATCTCACCGTGACTGAGTGATGCTTCGTGTATGCTGTCAATGTGATTCCTTGGATGCATCCATCACTTTCCTGGGCCAGGCTGCTGTGGCTGTGAGACAGGAGGGTTCCTAGAGCTCACTGAAACTGGGAGCAGTTGAGACCTTACTAACTCAATAAAAATGAAGACTTGTTGTGTTGCAGGTGACTGAATTTGCTTCTTTAAACTACATTACCCTCAAACAGCCCTTGTGGAGGGATCATCCAGCACTGCCTTGCTGGAGGCTGCTGGATTTATGTCCAGGCAGGAGTCCCAGGGAAGGTGGCTGGAATCACGGCTGGGGAGCTGTCCCAGAACTGCCTTTTGGGGAGCCCTCACTTCCCACTTTTGTAGCCCAGTCCTGCCGTTCCCACAGCCTTGGCTCTGTCCCATGGATCACATGGCCTTGCCAGTGGGGAGCAGGAGTCTGTGCTTCCAGCTGGGGAGTGATTTCAGCTGCTAATTCTGACTGCTTTAATTGAAGGGCACTTCATTAGCGGCTGCTTCAAGAGCTGCTTCTCCAGGGCTCTTCCAGGTTCCCTGGTGTTAGTCTGCTGCCAATCAGGCTGATCACTAATCAATGATCACTAATTAATGCTGAAGCTGCAGTGAGGTTGCAGACCTGATAGGGAGAGAGGCAGCCCTGGGGAGGAAAGTCTTTGGTTTGGTTTCAGCCTTGTGGCATGGACTGGCCTGGGGTGCTGGGCAAACCCACTGCCCCAGGAGTGCTCTGGCTTCCCTGGAGAACGAGGCTGCTTGGGGTCAGGCCTTGGAGTCATTTTGCTTCCATGATTAGGCTGATGAGGAAAACAAAAATATCCAGAAACCAGGTACCTGTGGCCTTTTGTACCTCTCATTTTTCCAGAGGGATGCTCTTTGCTCCATCTGTGTCTATCACTCCTCTGATTGATCTGTGTGTGATACTCAGTTTTACATTTTTTTAAGTGTCAGGAGGCAGGATTGGGTTAGATATTCAGAAGAAACTCTTTCCTGTGAGGGTGGTGAGGCACTGGCACAGGTTGGCCAGAGAAGCTGTGGACTCTCTATCCCTGGAAGTGTTCCAGTCCTGGTTGGATGGGGCTTGGAGCAGCCTGGGCTAGTGGAAGGTGTCCCTGCCTGTGGCAGGGCTTGGAACTGGATGG